AACTCAACTCTCACCATCTCCCCTCATTTTTCAACGTGGGACAAATAAGACTTGAAGGCTTAAAAAATAAAAGTAAGAGACCATTACTTTTTATAGACAACTCAACCCTCCCCATCTCCTCTTATTTTTCAATATGGGACAAATAAGATTTGCGTTTGTCTTTGAAGTGTTCCTCGTCTCCTCTCTTTTGCTTTTGAACTACTACTTTATTTGTTTTTTTATTGATTTGTTTACTTTTTTTTTCTTGTTAATTTTTCTAAATAATTATTAATTTATTATTATATTAATTGTATTTAAACGGATAAACGTGTGATAAACGGTTTAACAGGTCTCACACGAACACGACCCGTTTATTAAACGTATTTGGCGTGTTAACCTGTTTATTACCTAAACCCGTTAAGATCTCACTCAAACCCGCTTAATTCGTGTCGATTCGTGTAGTATCAAATTTTGATAGCCCTAGTGGTACCCTTCACTTCAATTTTGTAGTTTACTTTTCTTCTTATATAATTTAACTTGGAATAATTCCAAATGGCTCTTGGCAAGTTCATTTTCCTTTTGCCTGCACAATAGATTGGTAACTAGGTTTCGTGGTCTGGCAGAAACTACTACAAAAAGTAATAAAAATAATTATTACAAAAGTTATAAATTTTTTTATTGCAAAATGACCCACAAATTATAAAAATATCCATTAATATACTAAATTTTAGAAGTACACTATAATTTTTTTCCTGGACACCGTCAAGGTTAGACGGACTAGTAGATATATTCCTTAATTTTAATTGTTAAATTTTAAATTTTTTTGAAACATATCTCTAAAAATAGAGAGTATTTGTTATGGATTTTATTTTTTTTTTACATTTTAGGCTTTTATTGCATTAGAATTCCTATATATATAAGAAAATTTATTTACAGTAAAACAGTAGTAAAATTTTTCGGTCTTACATCAATTTTTTATAAAATATTTTTTTTAGGAAACATTTCAGTCACGCTTCTCCTAGCTTACTATATCTTTAAATACACCTCCTTTATTATCAAAAATATTACTAACACCCCTTCTAATTTATATTTAAATATCACTGACACCTCATACCACTAAACTATTATTTCTAACAAAAAAATCTCATATAAATACCAAAAATGCCCCTATATAAACATCAGGTAATTTTTCTACATAAAATTTTATTAAAATTTCAAGCTGATTAAAATTTAATTTTCTACATATTAAAATTTGAAAAAATTAAAATTCGATTGAAGCTGATGAAATTTTATTTTTTTAACGTATTAAAATTCGAGCTTATTAATTTTTTTTTTCGTATTAAAATTTGAACTGGTTTGAATTCTACCCGAGTTATTAGCGTCGATTAAAATTCGTTTTCGAGTCGATTAAAATTTATATTTTTTTATTTATTATAATTTGTGTCAATTAAAATTTGGGTAAATTAAAATTTATATTTTTTTATGTATTAAAATTTGGGCTAATTAAAATTCTATTTGAGCCAATTAAAAATTTAATTGGTTCAAATAGAATTTTAATTATCTCAAATTTTAATACATAAAAAAATATAAATTTTAATTTACTCAAATTTTAATATATAAAAAAATAAATTTTAATTAGATTGAATTGAATTTTAATTAACCTGAATTTTAATACGTAAAAAGAATTATAAAACATAGGGGGTATCATTGAAGATATTCTTATCTAGATAGGGTGTGGATGAAGTTTGTCCTCAAATATGTCATGAAAAATTTAATAAAATTTCATTATAGTTAATATTTTTAATTTGATAGGGTTGTTAGTGAAGATGCAGAAAATAAAGGGGTATCCTTGAAGATGTGGTAAACTAGAGGGGTGTGATTGAAAATTTTCCAATATATTATGAACGAACCCAGACCCAGCCAGAAACCACCTCACAGCAATCCCTGGACTGGTAGAGTGTTGGTGCGAGCTCATGTGGGCAGCTCTGAGATCTCGTTCTCTTCCTCTTTCACCATCATGTTCCTCGTTTATTCAACAATGGAGGTTAGGGTTGTCGAATCTCAATCGCACGCTATGTTCGGTGTTGACTGAGACAACTGATATCGGTGACAACAAAGGCTTACTGGACCTGCAAGAGGTCGAGAAAGTTCTCAGCGATGTTAAAGCAGACAACATCACAGTCATTCCCGTTAAAAAGCACTGCGATTTCGCCGACTTCATGATCGTCGCCACCGGTCGATCCCCTTGGCACGTCCGCAATATAGCTCAAGCCCTAATTTACAAGGCAGGTTCGTCTCTCCCCTGTTTCATGTGGAGCACCAACACACACACACACACACTCACACATCAAAGGAGTGTATATTTGGAGGACTGCAATGAATGTTTGGTTAGCGGTTTAATTTTGTGATGTTTTCAAACTTTTTGGATTTTTGATTTGGGACTCTTTAGAAGTGAAGAATCCTAGAAATGGTGATATTCGGCTACTTAGGTGATTTTAAATGCGTTTATTGCGGATATCGAAAGAAAATATTGTTGATTTGCCTTGTGGTTTTTTGGTTCAAACGGATAGGTTAAGCAGAAGCAAAAAGGAGCCAAGAGGATGTTGTTGCCCAGTGTGGAAGGGCAAGAGGGAGGCAAGTGGATTGTCATCGACTCTGGTATGTATTTGGGTCAGTCTTTCAGAAGCCTTTCACTGTGTTTCGAAATTATTTACTCTAGGGCAATTATCCTCTGTTTGTTTTACCAGTTTCTTTTTTTTGTTCCCGAACTGAAGATGCGTTAGTGCTTAGCATACCTTATATCTATTTAACTTTGAGGATTTTTTTTTCAAGCCAACCGAACATCTGCATGAACCACATTAGAGTAGAAGACTTGGTGTTGGTTGGATACAGGCTGTTAGCTTAATTTGATGTCTATTGTGCATGGGAGTTCGAGCTGATATAGTTTGCCTAAGGGTAAATGAGTGTTCCCTTGTATGGCCTCGAGAGGAGTTCTACTTGATGCGGTGTTTGCCAGAATTGAGTCCTTCGTAGTTTTCAAACCAACATTTCCAAATATAGGCATCTCACTGAAAGCTTTTTATTTATTTAGAGGAAAAAAAGGTTCAAATTGACATCTGGCTATTGAAAAAAGGAAATCTTGTTTGAGGCCTGTTTCTTCTAAGTGCTGTTGGTTTCTTAAGGTTATTGTGTTGGCTTGAATGGCACATTAGAGGAGCAGACTGGCTAACAACTTTTCTTATTTCTTGACATTGGCCTTTCTGTCTTTCTTCCATTTGGTGGGGTATCAGCATTATGTCTGACTTAGCTGCACACATGCACCCTTCACCTGCTTTTGGTAAGTTGGTACGCCTTTTCTTTTTGAGTCCACTTGATTAATGCGTTTTACACAGGAGTGGGTTGATTTGATTATTGTTGGATATTTTTAATTGGGGTAAGTTTGTGTGTGAAGGTCTGGAAAGACTTAAATTAAGACATTGGCCAGCTCAGCCTATCATGTAAAAGAAGATTGGTCTCACACTTATGAGTGGGATAGTGAAATATGTATACGGTATACCCCATGTACCAGTGGCATGTAGACAGAACCTTGGAGCACAGTATTATATGCTAATAAAATTCAGTTTTGGTGGCCAATGACTTTTGACTTATTACATGGATATGATTCCAATGCCATGTACAATGTGAGATAAATGGTAGCATTATTTGACGATCACAATCAAAGTACTATATTAAATTTACTCTTTTTTTTTTTCCTTTTTTCCTGTTTGGCTGAATTATGGATTGTATCGTGTGTAATAACACATAATGTCTCTAATGATACGGAATCCATCTTTTTGACTTGCTTGCAGCTAACATGTCATAAACATGAGTAGTAAAGGCTATGAGAATTTTACTTTAGATATTCGAATTGATGAAATTTCGTTCTGTGAGCAGAAGTAAATGTGGGAAATTAATATAATAGAGTCTTTTTAAATATCTGTGCTAGGCGAACATCTCTAGCAAATTTGTGGCTGTTAAATGCTTCTTGAATCTTTATTTTTTCTTGATTTTGGGTGGATATATTTTGACTAGGCACATTGATAGTTCATGCTCTTGATGAGAAAGTGAGAGCTTATTACAATTTGGAGAGGCTTTGGACCGCAGAGACATCAAACAAAGAACAAACTCAGGTGACATGTGAAGGCTACTTTTTAAGTGGTTTTTTAGCTGAGTATTTTTCAAGCTGTTCCACTGGATCAGATAACTTGTGGTGAAAGATCTCAACATGCATATTTTCATGTATAAGTAGTTAAGGTTCCTGGTTCCCTATAGCAAATAAAAACCATGTTATGATAGTTAGATTTTTCAGTTCTAGTACATGATCACAGAGGCTAAAAAAAACACATGCCAATGGGCATGCGGAATCCCTATACCAGATATTTGCAGATATTTAAGAATTTAGTGATGGGAAAGTCATATTTAGACCTCTCCATTGGAGATCCAAATCCTTACCCAAATTTGAGTAAAAAAGAGTAAAAAATTTGATTTAGTATAGATTTCTCCAATGGAGAAACTTAAATTTAAAGGAAGAGAAATTCAAATTTAAAAGAAGAGAAACCTTTTTTTAAATGAGGACAAATTCAAATTTAAAAGTGGGTAAATATGACAATTGGATCTTTAAAGGAGGGTGTAATATCACAATTGGTGAAAAGGGTGAGGATTTGAGTCTTTCGTTTAAAAAAGGATTTATGAGTATGAATCTAGCATTAGAGAAGGTTTTTAAAAGTATTTTTATCCCTTTTTTAAAAAAAAAGTATAAAAAAGGGTAAAGGCTGGAGATGTTCTAATGTTGCATCACCCGTCAAACTTGCACAAAGACTTAAAAGTAGCAGTAGTTTTACTGTTTGGTTTCTCCAAACCTTAAAATCTTCATTTCACCTATTTTGTTGTTTATTCAGGAATTGGAGAAGGCTTTCGTGAAGGTGCGCCGCAAGAATAACTCTAAAAAACCTGTGCAGTCAAATGGTTAGGATAGTCATCCTCGAGTAATATCCTGGAAACTGTGCTCGACCTCCTGATGGTAATTTCTGCATGAAAGGGAATTCTTGTTTTCAACGTATTCTAAAGCTTCTTATCTCGACTTAAAACTGTCAAGAGTTCTGTTTTGCACTGCTCATTCGTGTGTGACTTCTCATACCAACGCAACTACTGATCCACACTGATTGGCTAGCTCGGAAGTATATTTTGCCTTAAGTTTGCATTTTGGACTATGATTTTGTAGGGGGGGAATATCCCTAACTGCCATATTTCTTCTTTGTTGGCTTTGTATTTTGGAAGCCCTTCATATTCTGGAGAAAGAGTTGCATATTGTAGGCAAAATGGCCAGACAACCATAACTCTGAAAAGATAACATTGTCGACTGTAATCACTTTTTTTCTCCTCAAAGCTCCCTTGAAACCCCTGGTGAAATCATTAGATTCGGGTTTTTATGGATGGCTAGAATTTTGGTCTATGTTGGTTTCCACTTTGTGCAGTCTAATGTTGTAGAGGATGTATGGACCTACATTCAAAACAACTTCTCGAAGTGCAATATGCTGATAAAAAAAACTGCAACATAAGCATTTTATTCATAAAGTGCTCGTATTTTTTTGGGTAAGTGAACTAGAATTTTAATTTTGCCAAAAAAACCGCCAAGTATTTATTTTTTGGCAACGGAGGAGATTATTGGTTTGTCCTCGGTGAGTAGAGATGCATTTATCTTGCTCAGGTTCGTGAGTCCAAGTAGATCTTTGATGCTAATATTGGGGTTTCTAGCTAATCTTTCATCGCTAATTTCGCTTGAAGACACTTGCCGTAGGAATGGTGAATGTGGAGTTCACGGAAGTCCACTATTTAGAGAAGTATTAATCTGACCTTGCTTGTTGTAAGAGAAGAACCTTTCGAACCATTTTTTTCTTGTTGGCTAGGGAGCCATCCCTTAACCATCGTATTAAGACAACAACAGTTGTGTGGGCTGTGGGGTTAGTATGGAGCAAACTGTAAATTTAAGACATTTTAGATTCGACCTTTATAGGTAACTTACAAATTTATTCAATATTTATTGTTAGCAGTAATTACAGGTGATGTTTACTATATTAGAAGGTTTCTAATCATTTAAAAAAAAGAAAGAGATGACAGTGCCACAATCTGAATCCTTCAATTATGAGTTAATCTCATCAGAATCACTATTAATAATATGAGTAATTTTATTTTGGACCTAAAAATTTGACCTAATTTGCTGACATAATGATATCACTTAATAAGAATCATTGGATCAACACCATATTTCAATGTTTGATAGACTCTGCAGTCAATCTAAAAGTCATAGTGAATTAGGTCAGATTTTTAGATCCGAATAGCATTACTCTAATAATATTTGCATGATAATGGAATAAAAAAGGCTTTGTTTATCGCGTTGGGCCTGTAATTAAGAATATTATAATTAAAAAAGCAAAAAAGTAGAACAGTATAATTCTCAGGCCTATACTCTTCTAAGTTTCCTTAAAAATAGTACGGGATATTAATTAGAAACTAAGGAGTTCAAGTGTGTTGACATTGTTTCAAATTCTGTATCAAATTTGACCTCAATTTGGAATTCTCGTTTCTCTTTCCTTTTCCTGTTGCCATTAGGATTTGTAAAAAATATTGGAAGCTGTTTTAATTACCAAAAAGTCTGATACATACAATAATATATAACCCATATACCTTTCGTTTTCTCTAAGAATTGGAGTTTTCTACCCCCTACTCTTCTTGTAATGTTTAACTTCTCCCTCTCGAGAAGCTATGGGTCTTCAAAGACAGGGAGGAGAACAAGAACTGGAAGATCCAAAACCATAAAAACAAAAAAAACCACGAGAAAGCTCAATGATCTGGCCATTAAATCTCTTCCACAAGAGTTGTTGGTCGATGTTCTTGCTCGGGTTGCCTCCTCTTCCTTTACAGATCTCTTCAACGCCAAGTTATGGTAATATACCTTAACCTCATCCTGTTTCTTCGTCCTCCTTTTTTGTAATGTTTTGTACTTCTGTAGTAACAAAACATGAAAAATATTATACACATGCAGGCATAATATTACATATAGCTACATATAATTCGAAAAATAGCCCCAGTGTAGGTAGGTTTAAGAAAAAATTATATATACGCAATGTTATTCTAAAGAGATTGTTCTTGTGATTTTAACCATTGTGTCAACACCAGCTCTCATATAGTTACCTATGCAAACGTACAAAAAGTCTATTGCTATGCTGATTGCTCTCTCTCTCTCTCTCACCAGCGGGCTTCGTGTAAAAGATTTATTTGTCTAATACTCGATTAAATAATGTTGTTATTTTTTGTTCCACACAGCTGCAGAGATTTTCTTGGAGCAGCAGATGAAGATTATATCCTTGAACACGTATCGATCAACAGATTCCCAGTGATTCCGTGGTTCACAAGGGATGAAGTCGTCGCCTTCTTAAATCGCTGCAAGGATAATGGAAACCCTGAGGCACTCTACAGACAAGGCCTGGTAAGCTCTTACGTTACGTACTTTCTTTCTTCCCTAACTCACGTTTCCTCTTTGTTATCCCACTTTCGTAGGGCATCCAGTCTTTTTATTTCATGCTTGTAAAGATGGTAATAGGTAAATATAAACCCCACATTATTTCTATTGTTTTTCTGAGCCCCACTTATATGTTTGCCAGTAGTATTTTAGCAAGCTACCATCTCTCTCTAGCTCTTTATGATATGTAAAAATCAAAATTTTGTTTTAATGTATAATTTTAGTGAGCTTGAAAATGAAAATATTTCGATAATGTTTTAAAAATATTTCAAAAATAAGATGAAAACAAAGAAAATTAAAAAATTTATTAGTCAAAACATACCGAAACATGCCCAAACACTTCGAAACCTATCGAAATACCTCGAAACATAAGAATTTTAATATTTAATTAATGATTCGTTTCGATTTCCGTAAAAACGAAAATATTTTAGATGTTTCAGATCGAAATTTCGTTCCTTGGACATACGTTGATGATAGTTTAACAGAATAAATAAAGACTTCAAAGAAGTACAATATTTTTATAGACATGTATATGCCTATATATTTGTATATGTAAATGTAGATATATAATATATCGATGTAAGAGGAGTGTTTGACCTAAAACTAAGGTGCTGATAACAATTTTATGCTTAGTTCAGGTTGAATATTTTAGTTACAGGAGAATGGAATCAGGACTAGAGTATCTCAAGAGAGCAGCAGATAAGGGACACATAGAAGCATCATATGTGTATGGTATTATCCTACTGTGCACTGGTGGTGAATCAACTCAACAGGGCCTAAAGCTTCTAAATGCAGTGAATTCAAAATCAAAAAGTTTGAGGATACAAGAGTGTCGGGTAAGAACGAAAGCGATTATTCGAACAATGTGGATCAACAATTATCTTGTTAGACAAACAAACACTTGTTGCCATGAACAACCTTGCATTAGAATGGAACGAACATGGGATTGTAATGAAGACAACGATGTTTTGCTCTGTGATGCATGTAGGTGGGATCAAGAAGTGATTGCATTTTGTAAAATGTTGCGTGGTATTGCTGCATAGATACAAACAAACTTTGTCATCATTTACAGTGGTGTACTATAGACAGCATGATAAATAATGTGTTAGCATCCATAAACTTATTTTTTACCTTTTTTTTGTCTAGTTTTCTTTTTTGTAAGGTAGAGTTGAGATTTCTTATTCTAGCTTTACTTATTGCATCCACTCTTTAATGAAGGCGTAGTTTACAATAAGAATACTACCACTTAAACAAACAAGGATTGATACACAATGAACTCAATTTTTACTATTTTTTTTTTGATTCAATGGTTAAGAATGACAGAGCTAATTTATAATTTTTATTATTGTTGTATGTTATCTGAGATGAAACAATCCTCACGTAATCTTGTTCCAAATAGTAGATTTTGCATCTTAAGATTAACAAGTCAAAGGTGCAAGTATGCATTTACTTAAAAAGGGTTCAACATTTTTGCATAGAGAATAAATTTTGTCTGGCTTACTCGTAAACCACGGGTAGCCACCTCGACAAAGAGGACTGCTCTCATCGTTCTTTCTTCTCTTTTCTCCCTCGCACCCACAAAAATTGAAACATACGTATGAACTCTCTCTTTTTTCTCACACTCTCGTACACACACACACACACAGAGTCACCCATCACCTGCAGCCTGTAACTAAAAAGAAATATAAATGAATCAATTTTTTGATTTTAGATTAGATCAATCATATTTCATACAGTAATGCTAGATTGACCAAATTTTTGGACCAAATGACATGACAGTTGACTTGAGTTTCTTTGATTAGTGTTATGTCATTAGAGTCCCAATAAAAACTTCAAATAATTAACTGTCATGTCATTTGGACTCCAAATTTAGTCAGTGTAGCATTACTTTTCTTCATATCCAGTACTATTTAAAGTTAGAACCGAATGCTACTCCTCCCTCCACCAAGGAGGACAGAGAAGCTTTTTGTTGGTAACATCAAATTGCCATTTAATTTGTTTGTTTATCTCTTCCAATAACTCGTAGATCTATGTTTAGCTTCTACTCAAGGATTGATATTAGTCCGCGGTAAGGGAGGAGAGTGTTTGGGTATGTGAGAGAAGATGATGAAGAAGAAGTGAAGGTTCAAAAGTGGGCGGGTTGTGTAAGATAGTGCGATTGTGATACTAAAGTTGAAACAGACTTTATGTTAACCCACTTAATTTGTTGAGGTGACTTTTCATGAGTGGTTGCCTGTACTCTTATAAGGAGGGTTTAACTTCATTATTTTCATCCAACATTTGAGTCGAAATGATAAATCTTATTATCACCTTTTCACTCACACTAAGGAGAAGAAAAATTCATGGAGACCAAGTAATATCAATTACGTCGGTTCTCATAGCTTGGACTGGAACTTAGATATCATCGATACCAACAAGGATTGATAATACATTATCATTTACACTAATGACATTAGAAAGCATGCAATTCTTACAAACAAAGTCATGCATATTTGTAGGTGCCATGGGACACAATCACACATAACAAAATTAAGGTTGCTTATTTCAATTTTTCTACACCTTTTTTGGTCCTAAATTAATATTTAGTAATATTATTGATAAGGGTAAAATTCTGGGTGTGGCCCACCAACAAGCCAGAAACCCAAAAAGCCATGGGAGAACTGGAGGAAAGTCCATTGGCCCAACGTAGAGCGTCTCCTATTAACCCAAGACAAAGAGCAGAAACGACATGCCCCGACGAGCACCCGAGGGACAGTGGTCCAAACCCGACTCAATCAGGTACTTGCTAAAGGACAATTTGAAGAGAAGGAATCAAATCTTTGCCTCAAAGCCACCCCGCCATGCCACGCGCATAGAGGACAAGGGAACCATCTCTGAAACCAACGATACCTACATCCTCCAGCACGCAGAAGATGGTGGAGCATAACGCCCCAGAGATCGTGAGCGCAGTGGCGCCGACTGAAAAAGGCTTTTGCAGAACAAGGACAAGAGGTCCTCATAAGATTGGTAAAAGATAGAAGGAACCGCCAGGAATCACAAAGAGAAGCGACCTATATATATATAGAACAATATCCTACAGAAGAGGGCGATCCCAGAGAACTAAAAAACAACCCTGAACACAACCCAATAAGCTTAGGGCCATCTTTAAGGCCCAATGCTTGAATCCCTGCTGCATTCATCGACGTTTCAATATATAAAGTCAAGTAACAAGAAATTCTATTACAGTGGATGTAACCTTGGTCTACCGACCAAGACGAATCATTTATCTTTCTTGTTTTCTTTTGTTAAGAGAACTCAATCTACCAAACCTACTCTAATATTGGACCTAATAACCTTTCATGCGTTGGGTTTGGGCTGTGATTTTCGAGACTCCATCAATTATTATGACCTCATTAATTAACTTAATATTGCTGACAGTAATTATAATTTTTTAACTTTTTTATTGGGTTTTCATTAAATCAATTAATTTTCTAGATCCCTCCCGCGTTACTCTGGGAGTAATTCTACTTTTCAGTATTCTTTGCAATTGACACCCCAACGTCGACTTGTTGAGAAAGTGGGTCGGGTTTAGGTGAAGTCGTTGGGCCAACCTACATTCATCACAGTCTTTGCACTAAATACCAGCAAAGTACCAGTCATACCACTCAATTTACCATTTGGCAACACTGTGATTTCCCCAATGGCTGCCTGGTAAATAAAATGAAAACTAGCTCCTTTTTATACTCCCGCGGCGATACAAATTGTACAAAGCCTAAAGTACCATTAAAAAAAAAAGGAGAATATTATATTTTGCACTCTTAAAAATTTTATAAATTTTATTTTATACTTATAAAAAATAAATTTGTCATATTATATTTTTAATATATTAAAAGTATTGAAATGTGATCATCTCTCGTTAGATTCTGCTGCTTATTCCAAAAAAAATTACCTCATTGATGTTGATGGATAAAATAAGGAAAGCTAACAAAAGAACGATATTGAAATATTTTTAATAAATTGAAGGTATAATGTGAAAATAAAAATTTTAAAGGTATAAATTGAAAACTCTTCAAAATTTCAGGGTACAAATATAATTTTCCCTAACAATAGACTTCGAACGCATCGCTTCTCCCACTGTGTTCGGAGCTTCCAAAGGAGAAATCAGCAACACTTGTCCGATTGTTGTTGCTTTATAAAAAGCATTGTCTTCGTGGCGAATTTCATTGCTTCTCGTTCCTCTCACTCTTCAATTTTCGCTCTTCGAAGACTCATGGCTGCCTCTATTGCCGGATCGGCCATCGTCGCTCTTAAATCCGCCGGAATTTCCTCACCTTCCGCCGACCACAAATTCTCTCATTTCCGGCAATTTTCTCCGATTTCCCAATCGATTCATCTCCAACACAAGCTCAACTTGCAATGCCGATCGAGGAGCTCCTTCGCTTCCGGTGGTAACACTTTTGATCCGCTTCTGTGACGTATACGTATGCACTTGTATTGTATATTTGTATAGTTATTGCCACTGTTCGTTTAGTATATATTATCTACACATGTATTGGAATATGCACTTGTATGTGTATCTTCTTTCATTGTTGCAGTTTATGTTCTGGTTTGTTGATGTTACCTAGTTATACGATGCTTCGTTGTGTTGCTTCGAAATTTTAGATCAGTTGGTTGTTTTGGCATTGAAAGTTTGAAATTTTGAAGCAATACAAGGAAGAATTTGGGAATGGTGGGATTGTGGATGATTTGAGATTTGAGTTGGTTAAGAAAGTGCCAGTGATTTTTCGGGGTTGATTTGAATGAGGAATTTTGAGTTGTATGACAGTCAGGGAAACGAGAATTTGGAATAATTAGGTAACTTTAACATCACTCAATAATTATTTGCAATATGTGGGAACGGCAAGATTATTTGATTATTAACGTGAAACTAAAAAAAGAAAAAAAGCGTTTATGTATAATTCTGTAATTAACAGTTTCGTTAGTTAAGAGAAGTAAGTCTTCCTTTAGAGCTTCTTTATACTAACACAAGTGTGGGTCCTTGTTGCTCATTTCCCTACGTTGCTATCTGGCACCATGGAATGCAGATCTCATTGTTTATAGTGGCAGATGCAGGTGTAAAAGCTCAGGTTGCCACTATTGAACATGCAAGTGTTGAAGCTGCTCAAAATGTGGAAGCCCCTGTTGTTGTTGTGACTGGAGCCTCTCGAGGGATAGGCAGAGCAATTGCACTGGCTTTGGGGAAAGCTGGATGTAAGGTCAGGAATTTCCCTTACTGCAAGTTGACAACTCCATTTATATGTCACTTGCTAACATATACCTGTATATTTCTTATTGTTGGTGGTTCTGTGGCTGGTTTGTGATTAGTACTCACGAGTTAGATGGATAGTTTCTGTCTGCAGTTGTTGATGTTTGCCTTGATGATAACTTGTGTGATTTTAGGCATAACTAACAAAACCAAGCATTTTGAGAAGTTAGGGTGGCCAAAGAAAGCCTTCATCTCAGAACCACTCCTTGATATCATCTGTGAGGTGTCTATATTGTGAATTGGACTACCTCTTCCTTCTCTCCACCCAGCACACATACACAGCTAGAAAGTTGTAACGAAAATGTCAACTTCACTTCATCAATTCAATACTTGTGACAACGGCTTGGGTATCAACAGTGATGGCCTATTCCGATAAGGAAGACAGTTTTGCTTAAATTGTCAAAGTTCTTCTGGGTTCATGGCAATAGCATGATAAATAGGTCCAAGGCAACAACACTTGTGCTTATTTAATTAGTTTAATTCATAGTCAGTGCTCAGTATGCCTTTATGCTGCAATTGCTTTCTGTTCATCAGTATTCATTACTATCCCAGTCCTGTTATCATTTTCCATTTATTTCCTTCTGTCAATGTTGATTTCACACTGTCCGTTGCAGGTTCTAGTCAACTATGCTAGGTCATCAAAGGAGGCAGTAGAAGTTTGTAAAGAGGTGAAGAACGCCAACTATATGCATATTTATGAAAATTGTGCTTATATATATAGTGGTGATATGCAGCTATTTTTTATGTTTCCTTTTTTCTTTACATCTTAATATGCTTCCCTGTTTCCATTCCCTTTTGGCCTGGAAGAATGCTAGAAACTATATTCAAATATGATGCAATGATGCATGTGCTACTGGGTGAACAGCTAGCTATATGTCTTTTATAGGTTAAGAACAGGTTCAGGATTTGCTGGCGAGTTAATGTGCTTACTTTAGTGTGTAAACTGCAAAGGTTTCAAGGAAGAACAAGAGTCTTTCTTGCCCCCTGCCACCAAAAAACCAGCCAGCCATCCACTTGTCTCATCAACCAACTAGCTTGGAAAAGTTGGATCTCCTTTCTATGAGACTTGTCTGGGATAACCCTACTTATTAGAAGCGAATAACATAATTGAAGACTCATGGAACAATTTGATTAGCTTTGACGATAATGTGATTGCACATACTAGTGACTTCTGCTGGTAGAGCATATATAATAATTATGGTGTTGTGTCATATTGTTGAAATTGAAAATGATAGGTGATAACCTATTATATGTGCTTGCAGATTGAGGCATGCGGTGGTCAAGCTCTGACTTTTGGAGGAGATGTCTCCAAAGAAGCAGATGTGGAAGCGATGATTAAAACCGTGAGCCAGTCTTCATGTGCTGATTATTTAGTTAACATAGTATGCTGCTAATTTTAGTATTCTTCATGATTGTCGCATCTACAGGCAGTCGATGCATGGGGAACTGTTGACATCCTAATAAACAATGCAGGTTATTGAAAAATCCACCCCTGTTTCGTTATGTATGCATTTGGAAAATATAACCTACTATCAAATATGGAATGGTTTCAGGTATTACTAGGGATGGGTTGTTGATGCGAATGAAGACACCTCAATGGCAGGAGGTTATTGATCTGAATCTCACGGGTGTATACCTGTGTATACAGGTATTGTCTTCACAACTCTAACTGTCCACAGATATGGTTTCTTGTCTTCTTTTATTTGGATCTAAGATCTTGTACTCTTTGCAGGCAGCAGCAAAAATAATGATGAAGAAGAGAAAGGTATTCTAATGTCACAATTTTTGGCTGTATTGGTTTTCTGTACTTGCTCTGCCAGTCATAGGCTAAGGTGCTGCCCAAGAATATGGTCTGGAATTTAATGATGAATTTGATGTGTTTCAACTTGCTTCAATACTCTGGTTATTCGGTTCAGGAATTAATATCAAAGTTATAGATAAAATGTGTTTGAATTGCCATCAATTTTATGGCAATGGATTGGCATGATATCTATAAGTAAGAATACCTTATTTGGGGAACCTTGGCATGTTTTCAATGTTATCTAGATCTTGGGTCAATTTAGTATATGGTGCGGGTATGTGGTACGATACTTTCTTACATATGTGGTGCGATGAGAGTAGTTTAACTGATACAAAATTATTCATTTTATAATCCTTATCTAGATTGCTTTCACTACTATATGAAATTATATATAATAATACATCCATAATCGCATAGTCAATTACTATTTATTTTACATTTGTGCTCAATTTCCTATTATATATGCACATAGTTAATTAATATTTATTTTACTTTTGTGATACATGTTCCAAACGAATTGATTTGGAGTTAGTATAACAATTTTGGGTCGGACATTTAGACGATCTGGATCACGAACCAACCTCATTTAGGATCGTTGTACCCAGATCGTGGGTCGTCAAGGATTTAGCAATTTGTGGTAACTATGTGTTGTCCATCCCTCATAAAATTGCACACGGTGAAAAAATATAAAATGAATGTATGTAATCAGCTTTGAGAAAGTATATTTTGAATTTTTGATATAACTGGGCACCGTTATTTTACTTTATTTTTTTGTTGTTTTGGTCTAAAGTCTCTGACATCAGTTAATTTCTGCTTTTACAGGGAAGGATAATCAATATAGCATCAGTTGTTGGCCTTGTTGGCAATGTTGGGCAAGCCAATTACAGTGCTGCAAAAGCAGGTGTAATTGGCCTGACAAAAACTGTGGCCAAGGAATATTCAAGCAGGAATATTAATGTGAGTTTCCCAGAGTTATATACATGAGTTTTAGTGCTCAGACACATGCCATGATGCAGTTCAAACTCATACATGGAAATAAAGTTTAATGAAGACTTTACATCCTCAGGTCAATGCTGTAGCCCCAGGGTTCATTGCATCTGATATGACTGCTAAGCTTGGAGAAGACATTGAGAAAAAGATTTTGGAGACCATCCCCTTGGGTGAGATATTTATCCATAGGAAAACTATTCTCTCTCTCTCTCTCTCTCACACACACACAAACTCTTTGTCCCCTTTTATGCAATTTCATATTTTTTTTTTGCATTCAGCTCTATATATGTTCTGTTAAATCTCAGGGCGTATGTATTTATCTTGCTAGCACAAACCACATCTTATGGCATGTTGCAAGGCAACCATTATAGATGACTTCCCCTTTTGTTTCCCTCATTGGTTTTATGAACTTTTTTCACTGTGACTGATTTCCTTTTCTCTAGTTATCAAGTCTCTCTCTCTCTCACATGCAAGAGTCGCTGGTTAATCTTGCTGCATTTCTTGTCTTGATGTCCATGACATTGCACCTCATTCAAGCCATTGCATTTCTGCTGATATCTCAAATGTTTGTATCAATCATAGTTTGGAATCCATATTTTTACTGGTCAACCAATGTTCATATTATGCAGTGATCAGATAACTCTAATTGATGAGCAGAAATTTCAGTGACTAAATGGTTTGCATAACATTGAAGAAGATATTTGCGCCTTTTTTTGTGATCTATATGATTGAAATTCTAAAAATCCAATTTTGAAAAAAATCTAAAAGTATATCAGGCAATGACAATGATTGGAAAATTGTTGCTGGTTAATACAGGAAGGTATGGTCAACCAGAAGAAGTTGCTGGACTCGTCAAATTTTTGGCCCTTAACCCTGCAGCCAGTTACATCACTGGACAGGTTTGTAAATACTAGAAATTCATATTGAATTTATTTTGTCACAATCTGCAATTTATATTTTAGTAGGCGTGGCAACCAACAAACTCAATATGTTTGTGCTTACAGCTCTGTTTGACAATGCAAAGCTTCTGTTGATGCCCCGTTTCCTTCTTTTTTGTTATCGATAGCTATTTTATGTTGCTATGATATTTGCAGGTTTTGACCATTGATGGAGGAATGGTGATGTAAGAAGCCCTGCAATCTATCCAAACTAGTACTTCAGACGAGTGTTGGGCGGATTAATTCCAACTGACTTTTTGTGTAAGCTTTCTTATGCAATTGTTGCCAATGACAGCTATGAAATAAGCTAATATTGAGCCAAGTTTTGATGTAACTTTTAGTGAACGTGTGTTTTTTTGGATAAGTAAACTTTTACTCTAGAAGTTGATGGAACCAAACAAGAGGTGTACAACAATTCCATTTGAAGCTTCTGTTGACATTTCCAAGAAATACTTTTGGAAGTAAAAAAGACTCATCCTATTTTTTAGCATGATACGGTATTTGGACCTTTTTTTCACTGTGGATCTCATTCAATATTGTGACCCACTCCTAATCCAATAGCATCGGTTGGATTAGGTCCACAAATTGTATCATTAAATTGAGTTAAAATAGCATCCCTCCCATGAATCTGCTGCATAAGATGATATTCTTTCCATTGCTTCTCTTTGAAGCTATTCCGTCGAACTTCATTAATTAAATCTGGGTCAAGGATCTTCCAGACACAATTTATGGTTTGGTTTGGAAAGGAATCGAACATTAGGTTCATTGGTCCAATATGCAGTTGTGATTGGGGGTAAAGGGTAAACTCATTCAATTTTCATTGATCCAGTTTATTCTTTTTTTTGTGCAAAAGCTTTTGGTTCTCTTGCTATGAAGTGCATGTGCTCAATTTATGGTGAATTATATAGAAAATATTGTCTGGCAGTAACAACACCCTTGTCGGTAATGTGTTTTTTGGCCCACCAGTGTGAAGTTATGATTTCTACTAAATAATGGGAACTCCTCCATCAATGGGTCCTTCATCAATGAGAGAGAGACTGTCATGGTATTTTGGCCATAGGAAGTAGATTGGAAAAAAGAGTGTTCTTTTTATCCCCCAAACTTAGGAGGTCCAAGCTAAAATATTAGGTCACTTGGATTCTGCAATAAACCTCACATGTTCTTTCAACTTGTGGTTTCTCTTCAAATTAAAGGGAACTAAAGGAATACACCATGTTATTGAAACACCATACTAGTGGTTTATTTGAGGAATAGCATCCTATCATAATTAGTACAAATCTCTTTAATAATATGAATGCAATCACCTAGGAGGAATGGAAAATAAAGATTATTTTGGTCTGGATGGTAGATCATCATCAAACACACAAAACTAAATGATTAAATGGTAATATTTTATTTGCATAATAAAGGAAAATACTACCACATTACTCATCCTTCTTCTCTCAAGAAAGACAGGACTGATGACTACAATCACCAGGACAAAATCTGCAACAACTAGTAAGACAGAGGTAAGTTTCCTTTTTTGTCTTTGCAAGGAAGAAGCAACTCCAACATGACTAGAAAACCAAAACAAAATCCAACCAGATTCATCAGGCTCGACAAAACTCTAGCATAAACGCACTCTTGTTTATTCCCAACTACAAGTTCGAAGGCCAAAAAAACAAAACTCTAGGCCCCAATCAAAAAAAAATAAAATAAAACAGAGCTTTGAAATCATCATTGGAAGCCTCAAGCAACAGAAGCCATGTGGACAATCAAGTCGATCACACGGGAGCTGCAACAGCAAAAAATAGCGTGTAAGGAAACAATTGAGCAGTGAAGATATAGGATGCTACTATCAAATAAATGATTAACCAGAACCAAGCAAATCAAAAGTGACAATAATACACAAAAAGAGGACATATTACCTGTAGCCCCATTCATTGTCATACCACGAGACCAGTTTCACAAAGTTTCCACTCAGAGCAATCCCGGCCTTGGCATCAAAGATGCTTGACCTGCATTAAGTGAACCACGCACACACATTAAAACCATTGATTTTGTTTCCCCGCATGGGATTGTTAGGTGATCAATCAGAAAAAACAGGGTCCCATATAGCAATCTTCACCTGTTATCACCCACAAAGTCTGTGGAGACCACATCATCCTCGGTGTAACCTAAGATACCCTTGAGTTTGCCCTCTGATTCCTCCCTGTGAACAACCAAGTCAGCGAATAAAAATCAGAAGATAAACAAGGGAAAAACTACACAACTCATTAAAGTGGGGAACTCAAAGAAACACCGTTGTATAGTATGTCAATTGTCTTCATACCAAAGACTTTAAAAAACCATTAACCATCTGATTTAGTTATAAGACTTTAATAGCACATTGTGACACAATTATCCCTTAGAAATCAGAAAATATTCAAGAAACCTACTTGATAGCAGCTTTGATCTGCTCGTACGTAGCTGTTTTCTCAAGCCTTACAGTTAGGTCCACAACTGAAACATCCACAGTAGGAACTCGGAACGCCATACCAGTCAATTTACCATTCAGGGCTGGCAGCACTTTACCAACAGCCTATTTTAAAAAAATAAGTTAATTCAAAATATCAGCTCAAAGATATGGCTCTCTGGTCCCAAAAAATTCATTACTGTAAAATACAGATGAAGGTGGACAAAATCCAGCAAGCGTGTAATACTGATTAAATACACGTTGCAATGCAGCACAGTTCTAACAAAAATATCAAACAATTAATCCAATATGATGAGAATCTCATTCCATAATCGGCTATATACCTTGGCAGCACCAGTGCTGCTGGGAATGATGTTGAATGAAGCAGCTCTTCCACCTCTCCAGTCCTTCATTGATGGACCATCAACAGTCTTCTGAGTGGCTGGACCACGTATTGTTATTTGACAATTAGAACCATCTTCAAATTCATTTGGATAAACCCATAAAACTAACACGGCAAACAATCACTCACCAGTAATGGAATGGACAGTGGTCATGAGACCCTCAACAATGCCGAATTTATCATTAATAACCTGCAAGAGTTCAAAGTGGAAAGCATAAGGATACAGCAAACAGGCAAGTGAACCAAGAGTTGTCAGAAGTATAATGGTTCTCAGAAAACCTTGGCCAGGGGAGCAAGACAGTTGGTAGTGCAGCTAGCATTGGAGACAATGTCAAGCTCAGGCTTGTATTCTTTCTCATTGACTCCCACAACAAACATGGGAGCATCCTTGCTAGGAGCAGAAATGACAACTTTCTTTGCACCACCCTAATCACACCAAACAATCCAAGTCAACAACACATCTACTACAAACAGACACAAAAAACTTCAAAACTCAATAATTCAACAAAATTTTTTAAGCAAAAAGGCAAACAACGCCTCCAATTTATTCATAACTATAATACAACAAATAAGATGATCCAGTGGAAAAGTCAACCATTATCACAAAACAAAAATTTACGGTAGTGAAAAAATGCCACTCAATGTAATTATATCAAAGTATAAGCAAACCAAATCAAATAAGGTCAATCACCACTATATCTAGCAAAGAAAATCAAATCAGGGTACCCCTAAAATTAAAACACATCAAAATCATCTGTGAAATATAAGACAAACTCAAACTTACATAAAACCCAGAAAAGAAAATCAACCAAGACAACACATGTAACTAAATCACATCAAACTCCATCAAGACCCCACTAAAAATAATTTTGAGCAAATACCACCAGATCTGGCTTATATCAGCCCACAGTACACGAACATCACAAACTGGAATAGCAACAAAATCTAAATATAAGAACCGAGATCCAAGCAAACCTTCAAATGGGCAGCAGCCTTGTCCTTGTCTGTAAAGACTCCAGTAGACTCCACAACAAATTCAGCACCGGTTTCACCCCATGGGATCTCCTCTGGGTTCCTACATAATCAAACATTTTAGTTCAAATTCTCCCAATTCATATCGAGTGAAAAACAAGTTGCACCATGAAATTGTACCTGATGCCAAAGACTGTGACCGATTTCTCACCAAAGAGAAGGGTCTTCTCGTCTTTGACCTTAAGCTCATGATGCTTCCACTGGCCATGAACAGTGTCATACTTGAACATATATATCTGCACAAATAGAAATAACAAAACTCACAAGGAATCAATACAACCAATATAAAGCTTAAAAATAAGGGAAAAAATAGTTCTACAGGGAAAATGCAGTACCATGTAGTCAGTGGTGATGAAGGGATCGTTAATAGCAACAAGCTCAACATCGTCTCTCTGCAGAGCAACTCTAGCAACCAAACGACCGATCCTTCCAAACCCTGATAGATTTCAGCACAAAATCAATAACCATAAACCCATTTTCAAGAAAATAAAATCTAAAAAAAAACATAGACAAATCCAAGTACCGTTGATTCCGATCTTGATCTTCTTATCAGAACCCATGTGAGAAAAAAGATGACTGAAGTTTTCTAGAGACAGAAAAGATGACTGAGAGGCAGAGTGTAGTGTTTTAGAGAGAGAAATGAGAGTAGTGCGGAGAAAGGTTATGATTAGGGCTGTATTTAAAGAGGGTTTAGTGGCGGAGTAATCGAAACCGGTGGGTGTGATTGGTCACGTTTATGGTTTTTCTTTTTTCTCTCTGTCTTGCAGAAAAAGAAAGTGGTTTGGAGCCGGCCAACAAAGCGAAAGGTAAATATTATTTTTCTTTGTTTCCTATTCTATTAATTACGCTATCCTACTCTATGATATTTTAAATTCGATTTTGAATTGACATAATCGACAATAAAAGTTTTAATGGATAATCTCAACGGATAACTCTTTGGAATCAAATTATGATAAATACCTTATCTTCGGAGCAGATGGTTTGTCTTTGTTCAAATCAAAAGGAGATTGATCATAATACATATAAGTTAATCTGAATAGATGGTCTGTCTTTGTTCAAATCAAAAGGAGATTGATCATAATACATATAAGTTAATCTGAATATTCCTGACTGTTGAACAAAAAAAAAATATGTAATTGATAGTGAAAAATATCACATGATATTTGACTAAATACATTTCTAGTTATTAAAGTGTTCCGGATGTTATTTTTTTTTTCAATTTTATTATTATATATTCTTAAAGTGCAGACAATATTTTTTGTGAGACTCGGGTCTTATTTTTGTGTGATGAATCTAATATTTTTTATGAATAATTTTAAGAATTATTTAAAATTTGGTTGAAAATTTCAAGAATATTATTGACAAAATTGATAATTAATGGATTAAAAGAATATTTTATAAAATGTGATGTTTTTAGTTATTAGTTTTCACAATAGTTATCAAACCAAATGTTTAATGGCTAAAAATGACATAGTTGAAAGAATAGAGACCAAAATGACATGAAACACATAATCTCAGGGCTATTACTATAATTTATGTCTTTCCAAAATGAAATTATTATTACCCAAAGAGTCAAAAAAGAAAAAGAAAAAAGAAGAAGAGTAATTATGTTTGAGGAAGGAATATGAAGAGCTGCTGTGGAATATTCCAGGTGGATCTCAGTGATTTAATGACTCGACCCGGTGGGCTTCAGGCAGTCTTAACCGAGATCGGGCCAGACCAAGAAATATTTTTTATTTGTTTTTTCACGGACTCCAACTAATTTTTTATTGAAATTATATTATTTAAAGGCAATTCCTAAATGAATATGATATCTCATTACAGGTATCGATTCAATTAGAATTTCAAAAAAAAAAATTTATTTTGAAAAACCCCTTTTTGAAGGTACATGTCATATGAATCATTTATTACACCTTTTTTTCTTTTATTTATTTATTTATAATATAATACTATTTGTATTTAAAAATTTAATTTAATTTATTAATTTAATGATGTGACAGTAAAATTATTGTGACTCCATTTATCAAAATTTTTTATTATGACTATATCATTTAAGGCGATATTATATCACAAATTAAGTTTTATTATTAAATTCAAATAGTATTTCTTTTTTTTCCTTCTAATAAAACCATGCTATTGTCAACTTGACGAGATGTTTGACTTCTCTCCTTGCACGTAGCGTGGCCTACAGTGTCCAATTTTATTATTTATTATTGTTATTAATATCTAATCGCGCGTGCCAATTGGATTCTCCGGCAGCCGTGACACTTGACGTCACTCTGCGATACATTTCACGCTCTGCTCTTCCACCCACGCCACCACGCGTTCATCCAGAAATTGTCATGTCAAAAAATAATGTGTTTAATTGATAGTTATTAATTATAAAAATAATAAATTAAATTAAAAATAATAAAAGAAGATAAGATTACCCGTGTCAAATTTTATTCATTGAAAAAAAATCTATGATTAAAAAGAAAAGTATTTTTTAATTTAAAAAAAAATCATCCATAATTATATAAAAAGACAAAAGTCAAAATGCCTTCTTCCATACCATAATTGGAGACTTTCACACTAGAATTTTGAATTTTCATGAGCCTATGAATTTCATAACAAGGAGAGTTAAAGCCCAATTACAATACATTCATATATGAGAATTGTACTAGAATAAGGGAAGCGAGTAAAATAAGGGTATTTAATGAATGAAAAGGAATAAAGAGATCAAATCGTTGATTTGCACATAAATATTAATTTAGAATTCTATTTTACGTCTGTTGATTCACAAAAGATTTTATTAAGTTTGTTGATTCCTATAAAATATCAGAAGAATTGATAATAAAAGAGACAACTCCCTTAATTGTACTAATCAATCAAAAACTATTTAACTCTACGATTTATAAGAGAATAAATAGTGCTCAAAGCTTAAAACTAATTAGGAAATAAATAAATATGACCTAATTATCATTAATTAGATAATTAGGTCATTAATACATATTTTGCCCAAAAAAAAATTATCAAATTAATTATATTGCTAAAAACTACTAATCACCTAGATTAAGCCAAAATTGATAGCGATCAATTATAACTTTAGACGGTAAAACTATTTAATTACAAAATATTACTAAAAAAGGTGAAAAAACGCCATTTTCAGACCTAAATGAAGGAATTTGTTAAAAATTCACTCTGGGTCATCCAATCCCCTGGTAGGGTCAGGGTGCGATGAGTTTATTTTGTCTTTGTTATTATTGATTGGACATAGGTGTTTGAAAATTCGTGGAAGTGTTTCTAAAAAGGTCAAATATTTGACCGGCCCAAACCACTCCAATATCGATCCCATTAATTTAAGTAATGTATTGCCATGCGATTTGCATCACCGGACATGACATTTGTTCAGTGCTTTTCCATTTAGACATCCAAAGATGCACCATTCTCTTCCCTCCCAACATATTTTTGTTCTAAATGGAGAAATTGCGACACAGTGGAGAAATCTAATCGATATTTAGCGACTGTATTACTTATGAAATTTTTATTATAAAGTGACAATATATGACCATAATCAGATGTCAATAAAACCCGCTAATTCAACTTTATCTGTAAGGCTACATTTTGTCTGTCAGGATTTTACAATTTCCCATCCCCATCATTGCTGCCGAAAAGACTTGAACCAATTGTCTTCTCCACAAGAAAATTCCAATGCAATTGCACACCTTATTGGACTAATCAATCTGGGTACTCCCGTATTCAAGTTGGTGAGTAACGACCCCCAGAAATTTAGGAACATTGGATGGAACTAAGGCTTGAAAATTCCCTTATTTTGAGTCCCACCACAGAACATTCTGGTTGGCCAGAAAATTGTCCTTATTTTGGTACACAAATCTATCCAACATTTTTGGGATTGTAGGAATGTATAAATATATCAGCTAGAGATGGTCAACATGTGGTGCTTCTCCTTGAAAATTCTTTGTGGGAAGCTACCACAGGGTTGTGTTCTTCTTTCTCGTTCCTTGCAGCTCCAAACATGGCTTCTTCCACCCTCGTGAAGAGATGGCTGAGGCCTGAGGTACAACTACAACTACAACTCTTCAAGCACCCACATTCATATTATATACATATTAGTCAGAATTTGAAGTAGTGTTACAATTTCGAGCTAAGGTCTGCCATAGAGTAGAGGTAGGTTGAAACTTGGGACCATAGCCCCCGGTCTAGAAAATCATGAACTTTTATTAATGAAATTTGTGTAATTTTTGTTTGGGCCTTAAATTATGCATATATTCAGCTGCTATATTGCATTTAACTCCTTTGTTGTGTAATCTTCTGATTCCATCAGTGTTCGTAGTCTATTACATGGAATCAATCATGAATGATTATCTACATCCTCATCAACAATAATACTACACAAACATAAACTTGATATCAAAAACCGTTTGTTGGAATTCTTTCATTTCGAAACAATAAAATCATTCACATCATGGTTGTTTGTGAAGAAGCCACTGCCATATTATTTCGTATGAGAATTCTCCTTAAAAATTCTGTTTCCAAAGCACTTTTTTTTTTTTCCAGGGATAGAACTTACCATGGATTGAATTCTCACTAAGCAATATAAACCTTCCCATGCCATGACATGTTCTAGTGTTATCAAATAACCCGCGCTTTTTCCTCCTCCTGTGCTGGACTTCTGTGTTAGGACTTTGAAAATAATTGTTAATTCCCTAACATATGTGCTTAGAGGGGGAAAGTAGGCTTTCTTTTTCACATTTTTTAAACTCCTCTCCCAAAGAAACAGACTAAACAGACCCTTAGTCTCTTTCCCCTTTCTTTTTATGCTATGCAGAATCTTAAATTGCTCGTCATTTTGAAAGTCAATAAGCATGGACACCTAGGACGGATCCTGCAATTGAACTACTGATCGAAAGAAAATAAATTGCAAGATGAACTGAAAAATGCTGAAGAAGTGAATATAACCATGTTTACAACAAAGACAGCTATCAAATATCTGGCCAGTGTTTGTCCTCCTATGAAATTGCGTTCAAGAAAAAACAAGGACATCCTTTGTGAATGACTACAGTATTAGGTCAATTCCATGTTTGGATTTGAATGTGTATTACTTTTGCAAGACATTGCATTGTTTGAGAAACTATTCTGTGATGTTAAGTGCCAGCACATGTATGTTTGGGCTTACAATGTCAACTCACTGCTTTCATTCTCACATTCTACCTGGTAGCTACCCCTTTGATGTGTGCTCATTCTCCAGTTCTATTTATTTTGAAGAGTCTTGTTTCCTCTTATTTTATCCGGGAATACATTACTGAAGGTTTTCGGTTTTCCAACACCATAGGAGCCCTAGAGTACTTGAAAACTGTTTATTAACCATGTTTTTTTTTCTCTTTTTCCTCTTGAAAGGCGTACCCAATCTTTGCAGCAGTTGGCACAGTGGTTGGCATTTGCAGCATGCAACTCATAAGGAATATCACTACCAATCCTGAAGTGAGGTATGCGTTTTTTAAAAAAAAAAGTATCATTTCAGCCATGGAATAGGGGTGTTTTAAAGATCAAACTGGAACCAAACATTCAGTTTCGACGCACAAGGCCATCAGTGGATTTAAACTCAATGACAAGTGATTGCGACACAGAATTTTTATGTTTCTATGCTGTAAATTGTAAAAGAAGAAATAAAAACTGCAGTGTTTAAATCCATATGTGTTTGTGTTATGTCAGGAATTCTGTTGGACTTGAGTAATTTGTTCATTGTATCATTGGGGTAGACAGAAATTACAATTGATCAAAAATGTATTGACAGGCCTACTTTGGAAATTGATTTCAGGGTTAAAAAGGAGAACAGAGCTGCAGGAGTGCTCGACAACTTTGCAGAGGGTGAGCGCTATTCACAACATAGCCTAAGGAAATTCGTTCGTGGCAGGCGCCCTGAGATTATGCCAAACGTCAATGGTTTCTTCTCAAATCCAAAATGAAGCTGATGTTGAGATTGTCTACCTTGCTTGGAGTTTGATCCTCCAAATAGCTTTTGGCCATTGATTCTGTTGGAATTTAGGAAGTAGTGAATCACCCTGTTATGTTTTTCTTGGATTGTTAAGTTGTTGATGCTTGTTTTCATCCCCATTACAGAAATAAGGTTTATATCTGCAAGTTGGTCCTGAGACTTGTGTTTGTTGCTTATAACTGGTGCTTTTGCACTGACATGATCTGGTGATTAATGACGGAACATTCAGATATTTCAATGAATTGCTACTCTTATTGAATCATATAGCACTCTGTATATTAATACTAAAGTGGGGAAACCGATGTATGCATCACTGAAAGTATTTTGTTAATATTAATAGTGACAACAGGATGAGGGAAGGAGAACGTGGAACATCAAATAAAGGTAGGTGGGTTCGCCTTCAACACCTTTGAGCTGTTTGGTCCAGGCCAGAACTTTCAAGAGTTCGGATAAAAAGGGAAAGAGAGAATACAAAGACTGAGGCCACATATAGAAAGCACAAAATCGTCACTAATGGAGCTTCCAGATAAAAGAAAGGCAAGTGTGGACTCAATATGCTTGAAGTTTTTCTGGAATGTAAAGTTTGAAATTGGTCATCTACTAATGCAGCAGATATGACCTTTAATACATTTTATGTCCAGCTTTGAAAGGAGAATTTTTTTTTTTAATTCCAGCTTCAGGTTGAGCCAAATATGTTAATGTCAGCCAATTGATTTTCTCACATTTGGGAGAAAGAAGGTTCTAAAGATCTCCCTGCTGACAAGAATTCTAAATTTTGCTGAAGGCACTCATATAGGGTTGTGAGAATGTGAACTGCTCAACTAACTGAAGCTTATAGCTCAAAGTTGGAACCATTTCTTACATGGAACCTGAGGATCCAAGGATGGATACCCTTTGTTGATGGCTCCAAGGATAGATAGCATTTTTTAGACTGTTTTGTAGAAAGCAGAAGAGGTTATTGAATTACCTTCTTCCTCTCTCTCATCTGAAAATTCACCTTTTCTTTTTATCAAATTACTTGGAGATGTTCATTTTTAGCTAATCCACAATATAACTCACTGTAATTAGTATGCGATTTCAAAATCTTAACTTCGTTTACATTGTATATAGATGTTCATCATACCCAATTACACATGCTGCACATTGAAATCATGCAAACCAGATGAAAGTAAATGTCTTCAGGAAAGTAAATCTTGACTCTTGAGAATGTCCAAGTCATTATAGTCTAAAGTTTTAGCATCATCGAGGAAGCTATTCTTAAATTTAACTGTAAAAACCACTGAAAGCACACTTGGCAATGAAAATCCGTATGCACAATTAATGATATTCGCGACAACGGCAAAATATATTGATGGTTCCTGTCTGAAACTATTGTAGCACGATTGTAGACAACCTAGACTAGTTGGGAAAACTCTTTGCATGTAATTTTCGTAGCAAGACAAGAGTGTTACATATATTCTTTCCGAGGTATATCACTTCAGCATTTTGAGATTCTGAAAGGCGGGATATGTGGTCTTGAAGTAGAACGTTTATATTCTTCTGGTTACTGTTAGGTTTGCTTCATGGGCTCTTGCAGTTTTCATCACTGCTATTGTTGTCATTCGAGTTGTTGCTGCTCAGTGCTTCATTTTTAACAATGAGTCAGAAACTTGTGGATGCTACAATGTCAGATTGAGACACTGAAATATTTTTCGTATATCTTGAATCTTTGCACATGATTGAGCTTCAAGTCAATCTCCACACTGGCTTCAAGTAAGATCCCAATGAAGATTACTATCAGATGATCTTTTCAAGAATTCCCTTACCAACTTCGAAAATTTGGAAGAATTATCCCTCAGCAACCGATCTGGGGAGTCATACTCAACAACGCTGCCTGTATTAATCAAGATGAAACCGGTGAGCGACTTGATCTATCTCACACTAACATCACATCAAATTGTTAGCTTTTGTAGTTCCTATTTAAATTGTATCATCCTCTTCCAAAACAAGTAATGCATAGAGTTATCAATGTAGATCTATGTGGAAAAAATGAGAATGTGCTTTACTGGCAGTTAAATGCTTGTCCTCACTAAGAATCCTAAGATTTTCCTATATGCAAGAGAATTTCTGTTGCTGTTGGGTTTGTCATCCTTACCTTCATCTAGAACTAGAACCAAGTCATTGTCAATAACGGTTGGTATCCGATGGGCCACTGTTATGACTGTGCATCTGCTTGTTTGTTCTCTTATTGTCTTCTGAATCACGTTGTCTGTCGCTGTATCCACCGAGGCTGTAGCCTCATCCAATACTAATATTCTCCTCCTTTGTAGCAGAACCCTGGCCAGGCATACCAGCTGCCTTTGTCCCAAACTCCAGTTTTCTCCATCTTCTGCAACTGCACCAATGTCCAAATATCAGATCAGACAACCTCATCAATTTATAAAACAGATTTTCTATATCTAATTTGGATTTGGGATCCCCACAAGGGAAGGAGGCGGGGGGGTGTAAGGGGGAGGTCCTGCTCCATCATCATCATGTTTGTCATGTTTTTGTACCTGGTGCATCAAGAAGCCTTGAATCCTGCGCTACTATCCCTGCAAGATGACATTTGTTCAAAACCTGGCACATCAATTTAGTGGAGTTAAACTCAAAGTACATAAGGTCATGTAAGAAAAACGATATAACTTTTTTAATCGCTACCTCCAAGATTTCATGATCTGAGCACTGTTGCAGAGGATCAAGATTGGTCCTCATGGTTCCTTGAAATAAAGTTGGGTCTTGGGGTATTATACTCAACCTAGACCTCAAATCCTGCAATCCCATATTTGAAATATCTACTCCATCAATCAGAATCCGCCCTTCTGAGGGCTCCACCACCCTAAAGAGAGCTTGGATCAGAGTGGACTTTCCACTTCCAGTTCTGCCCACAACACCAATTTTCTTTTCCCCCGGGAAGGTGCAAGTGATTCCTTTCAGCACTCTTGGGAGAGCAGGACTATATTGGACATGGAGATCTTCAAGCTCGATTTTTCCATTGGTTGGCCAATCAGGCTCCGGTCTAAAATTTTCAATTACGAGTGGTGCTTCACTTGGTATGTTTGTGAACTGAAGAATTCTTTCTACTGAGATCATTTTGTTCTCTACATTGCAAAGGTTCCATATAACCCAAGCCTGGAGAACATTTAGGTTCAAACCATATGTAGCTGCCAGTCCTGCCAAGCCTGTTATCAGATCAATTAGTTTATTACGTTAGATTCAGTATTCCCAAAACCCAGCAAGCTCAAAATCAAACTCAGAATTGCAATATAATTTACTAATAATTGCAAAGACAGCAGACTGTTTGCAGTCGTTTATCTGAATTATATCGGTTAAAAAAAAAAAAGTGGAGCAGGATGGAGGTGAATGGTATGTCATACGAGTGTGATTCTAAAGTTCCTAAAATTTCCTTAGTGTGCTTTAACTGCTGCTGTCTGCTTCTGTTAGAAATGACTTTTACCTGTAACATGAATGATGAACTTGAATTTAAATGCATAGCTAGGATGCACCTTAAATACAAGTTTAGTTGTAAATACACAATCCTAAAACTTTATGTGAAACTCACTCCAAGGTGACCTCTATTCTTCTTAGCTTATTAGATGGACAAAAACAAAGGGGAGAGAAGGAGCTTACTGGGGTCAATGGCTGATTTTGGAAGGTTCACCAAGATGATAAGAAGAAGGAAGACGACAAGATTGAAGAGAAAGTTGATTCGAAGGCATAGCCATTCCATTGTTGCAGAGTTGTGGAAAGAGACACAAGAATAAGCATCAATGAGGCTTAAAATATTCTTCAAGAAGCGAACTTCCTCATTGAAGCATCGAACTATTGCTGCCCCACTAATGGACTCTGAAAAATGATGAAGGATTGGAGCTTTTCGTATCCCAATCATCCTGGCTAGTTCTCTAGCAGTGGTGATGTAATAATCCTGCAATAAGATTTGATGTTTCAGCATCTAAGGATAAACATACTAACAAAACGAATTGGTGCGCATGCCATGTATAGACACTCAATTGTAAAGCTTCAGATTTGATTTTAAGCGTTATAATATCCATTGATTAGATAGTTCAAAATTGCATACATGATTTTGTTGGAACTGTGTTATGCTGCATAAATTTCTTCAGCGTGTTGAACTCTAAAGCGAAAATCTTTAAGATAGTGAGTATTCTTGCCTGATACAGTATGGAGATGGCCAGAATAACCAGGAAGAGAAAAAAGACCTGCCAGGCAGTTTGCGACATAAGGAGAATGATACTCAATAGCTGAATAAGGGCAAATACTAATCCAGCTAATCTGTAGGGAATATCTGTGTCCACTATGCTTTGATCTGTGGAAGACTGATGAAAAATAAACAAAGTGAGAGTAAATTCAATCTGAAATTAAATTACTAAGAAAACGAAGTAACTGAAATGGATATGAAAAACAAAACTAACGCGGTTGAGAATTCGGCTTGAGGGCGTGGAATCAAAGAACGATAGGGGTGCACGGAAAACTGATGTAATCATGCCAAGGAAGAGGCGCTGAGAAGTCTCTATGGCAATGGTTGAGAGCAAAACTGCTCTGCCCAGAATAAACATGGAGCTTCCACCAGACATCAAAGCAAATATCCCAATTAACTGCTCTCTGCTAACCCTGCCTTCTTCTGCTGCTGCCCAAGAAATCCAATAATTGCTCGCCATTTGCAGTCCCTGGAAGAGAACCTGACACAAAAGGATAACTGGAACAAGAGCTCCTTTATATGCAGAAGTGACAAATATTGAGTAGACATGCCATTTCACGCGGCCAGTTTCTGTTTCTTCTTGTAGAGTTTTCTCCATGAGACTGTCACCATTGCTGATGTGGTGTTCAAAATTATTCTCGGTAACTTCAGTTTTACTCTGCTGTTGGTGTCCGTTTGTTAAGTAGTTGCATTCTGGAGGAGGCTTGACATGATTTAGATATTTTCTGTGGGCAGCCATTTGTCTAACAAGTTCACCATCAGACTCTGCAATCAAATCTTGATACTTTCCAGATTGAACAATCCTCCCATCTTTCATTACCTAAAGAGTATACATCCAAAAGTAAGGAAGTCTTAAAAACAATGCTCTCTTTTAGGGCCATAGCCAAAATTTTCATCAACTTACCAAAACAAGGTCTGAAGCATCGAGAAATTCCAACTGATGAGTGACGTAAACAACAGTTTTCCCATACAAGAGTTGCATCATACATTTCTGCAAAATGATTCATTTTTTAAGAAGATTATGTTAATAATGCAATCAAGAAATGTAAACGGTGCATGATACACAGATTTAAGAAGAATAAAGGATAAGATGTTTCTTGCCTTGAACATATGAGCCCCCGTATGTGCATCAACAGCACTGAAAGGATCATCAAGCAAATAAATATCTGAATCACTATAGATTGCCCTTGCTAGTTGAATCCTCTGTTTTTGTCCTCCACTTAAGTTCATTCCTCTCTCCCCCACAACACTTGAATCTCCCTCAGCCCACATCTCAATATCACGGTTTAGGGCACATCCTTCTACAACTTGATCATAGAAGGCCTTGTTCATTTCCTTGCCAAACAACACATTTTCTCTGATAGTTCCAGTCTGAATCCAAGCACTTTGTGGGACAAATGCTTTTGATCCATAAACTTTAATTCCACCCCCAGAAATCCTTGGAATCTCACCAAGTATACTGCAAAGTAAGCTTGATTTGCCTGATCCAACTGAGCCACATACAGCTACCCTGTCACCTTTCATTATTCTCAGTTTCTCTGTAAACTTGATTGTGGATAGTTTCGATCTTGAGCCACTGGTCTCCCATGTGTATTCTCCAGTTTCAATTTCAATTGCAACGTCAGATGCTTTTACAGACTGACAGTGAATAATTTTTTCTGATCTTTCCCTTTGATGAATTCTTGGATCCGATCAAGTGAAACCTTTGTTTGAGCAATCACGGAGATAAGCTCCGGCAGATTATTGATGGGCTCCTGTAAAATTCGAAAAGTTGCTATAGCTGAGAGAACAGTAGCTGATGTTAATGGTGTGCCTAAAACTATGCAAACACCAAAGGTGACCACTGAGACTAAGGTTGGTGATGCCCAAAACAGAAAAGCCACAGCTGAACATGTATAGAGGTATTTCTTTAGCCAACTTCTTTCAGTTTCTCTAAGTTTGAGGAGTTTCTTCAGAAAGGTGGATTCCCATGAATGCAGTTTCAAAACTCTCATGCTCCTCAAGGTCTCTGAGGTGGCTTTGATTCTGCTGTCCTTAGCTTCCATTATCTTGCTGTGAAGCCTTTCTTGCATATTGGCCAGTGGGGTGTTGCTCACCATCACGAAAATAGTGGCCGAAAGAGCAGCAATAGAGGGAGCAAAGCCAAGATTCCTGTACAAAATGGTCAAGGCCAAAATTACCTGAATTGGCAGCAACCAAACTCCATGAAGGTACCGACAGAAATCTCCAATCCTCTCAACGTCCACGTTGATGTAGTTTATGACTTTGCCATTGCTCATACCACCATATTTGATTGTCAAAGACTTCTTGTATATCAATACTATGAGAGCTGCACGGATTCGAGTACCAATACGCTGAGCACCAAAATACCATTGTCTCTGGCACAGTGACTCCACTGTCTTGGCCAAGAAAAAGATGACTGCAAGAATCACTCCATGGTGCCAGCTTGAATGATCATGCTTTGCCGATAAGAAATTTACAAAGTTTGTGATTAAGAGGGGGCCAATATAGGAAGCAATTGTGTTGAATCCTGTGACATTGAACAAAAACACGTAAATTTCTGCCAAACAGAGACTAAAAACGTTTTGATATGCCCAAAAGAACAAGAATTACCTGCAAAAACTGCATTGATTGCCAGAGGTCTCCAGATAGCTTGTAATATGGCATTGGGCAATGATGAAGTTTCATCTTTCTGTTTGCGAAGTGATTCTTGTAACGACGAAGCTGCTTCATCAGCTGTTTCTGATTTAGGAATGGAAGGTACATCGAGTATTTCGAGTGTTTTAACACGACCCTTCTTGAAGAGAGGATTAAGCCACTTGAACGTAGCCCGGCTCCAAATTCCAGCACTAGAAAAAGCATCGGCATCTTTGCAACCATCGTTTGCCTTTTTTCGAAGTAATGGTTGTTCAAGTTCTTGCTGTTTCTTGTTAGAATTAATGTGCAGAGCATTGAAACATAGGAGAATGGACAAGGGGAAGGAAGCGAAATCAATAATATTAGCTTCTGGCAGAAAATCTGGCACTTGTATGGATTTTAAACGAGTGAGGAGATAAAGAAAGACCAAAAGTGAATAAAAAATACTGGAAAAGACCCACCAGAGAATAAGCACTGGAGGCCACCTTTTGTGTTCTCTAAGAGTTCTGCTGAGTGAATAGAGTGCAATAAAACATGCTAAAGTCCAGTTCATTGCGGGGAAGACAGCTTCGATAATGATGGTTTTCAGCTTCCAGAATTCATAGAAACAAAACCCCAGATGAAACGTGGTTATAATGACATTGGAAATAACAGTTATCTTGGCAAAAACTGTAGATTTTCTGTCACTTGCTCCATGTTTTAACTCCTTATCACCACCCTCCCTCCTCCGCTTCAGAAAATCTACCATAATCCATGTCAGTAACAGCATGAAAAAAGCCACATTGACTAGCTTCAGAGAGAGATCCATTAAACCAGACAGCAACACCTAACATAGAGAGAGAAACATACATCAACGTGGTTGCCGTAAAAACAGTAAACACCCAGTTCATATAACAGAATGAAGATTGAAACCAAGAATTAAATCATAAAAATAAGTAAAAAAGGATGGAGAATTTTATCAGATTGTAGACAGAATTTGTTCAGTTGAAGAATGCAGACCTGTTACAGAATGAAGAAAGCACGTGTCCCTTTAAGGTTGGTGAGGTGATTAAGAGGAATCTGAGCTTTAGGAACAGTATGGTCTGTGACTGGAGGTTTTGGATTCATATACTATAGCAGAAAAACAATCACATCACCAGAATCTTTATCAGTCTTAACTCTATCCCTATGCCTATCCCTTTGAGTGATGCAAAAAATTATTATTGTATACATATAGAAGAATATAAAGGGACCAGAATCCAAACAATATCAAACATTTATGTTTAAAAGTTTATTTCTCCAAGATTTCTCCAGATTTAAGGGCTGTCAATTTTGCAAACTAAAAATGTCTTCATGCATGTCGTCATTTCATCGACAGATAAATGATTTTGTTCCAAATAAGTTTCTTTCTTAGGTAAAAACAAAAGATTATGGTATATATATATATATATGTGTGTGTGTGTGTGTGGAATAAATTCAAAATAGCTTCTCCGAGTTTGGAAGAAAGGATGGACAAATCAAACCTCACCTCACCACAGCTTGTAATGGAAGGAATCGCGTACAATGTATTATCTTTTATCTTTTATATACCTATAAGGAATTCTGAAATTGATGGTTTGAAATTTCAAAACTATGCTGACCCAAATTTCGGGGAAGGTAGTAATTGGGAATTGTCATTTTGGATGGAGAATAATTCCCAAATGGATGGGTAATAAGCTTGACCCATGTATTTCAGGTTTGCTATTCTTTTGGGTATATAAAAAGAATCTAATAACCATTTAAATGTCATTTAAATTTGGTCGGAGGTCTATGGATGAGGACTTCGGTTATTGAATGCATGGATTTCTTTTATGGATAGTTTTTATAATCCATATTTGAGGATTTGGATGGTTGAATCTCCCTCGTTGCACCTCTTTTAATTTGTTTAGACGATAGAGTATCACTTACGAATTCTAATATAATTCTTATAGATAAATGGGTTTTCATCCGTACACAGCCATTGATCTATTATTAAAAAAAATTTAAAAAATAATTAAAGTTTAAATCTACAAATACACTTAAAAACAAAGAATAATACGATACCTTTTCTTCTAATCAACTTAAAAAAAAGATAGAGGACTTAAATCATTTTTGAATATTCTCCAAAAGGACAATAGACTATATGAGTTCGACCCCGAGGAACCATTTAAGTTAATTAGTGCTTATACCTAAGTTCGGGATGTACAAAATTATTCATAAATCTTGTACGTTATAAAATTCAAACGTGAAAATTGTAATATTTTTATATAAACTATTTTATCATTTATGACAACATAATTTTCGGTCCAATTATGGACTTGAAAGGTGGCATCGAAAAGTTATACTTTGGTAATAGTATCCCTTCTTTCGTCAACTAATGAGAATGTTAAAGGTGCAAAATTCTTTCATTTAATTCATTACTAACCTCAAATGGAATAATCAAAGATTTATAATTACAAATTATTTATCTAATATTGTAGCTAGACACTTGAATTCTTGACTTATACAAGTATAATAATGATCAACATTAATCTAATTTTCATATACTTTGATCTAATGGTATAAAATTTATTCTAAAATTTCTTTTTGTGCTCAAAAACATATTCTTTGCACTAGGGCCGCCCCAATCATTAAGCCGATAAAATATGGGGTTTAAGTCCCACTTTAATGAAGATTGATTTCAAATGGAAAAATTATAAATAAAATATAAAAAAATTATTATTTAAAATATAAATATTACATATAAAATTAAATGCCTAATTTTCTGTATTACAAAACCTCTTCAGACACAATCGAATTATTGCTAGTTTTTGGATATGATAGCATAAGATTTTGTTCTTGGACTTTGGTGGGTATGCAGGCATTGGTACAGGTCATCATATGGTTAGGCAGTGTCACTCAAAGGCGTGTGGCTAACGTAGTGGTGTGGAAAATTTTACTTTCCTTGAAGGTACCATGAACGTGCTCTGTGAACGCAGACGTGTGGAGGGTGAAAGCAACGGCACTGTAGAGTTGCGATTTTCGTGTGTTAATTGTAGCATGTGACACCACCAAAATTAAAGCGCTAAAGTCAAGTCTCATAGCACGTTGTGCCAGTGCTCCACTTTGGTTGCAGTCACTGTGGTCCATCGAAGAATATAATAATGCCTTAAAAAGTTTATAATATAATGGATTCCAGACAAGTGAAAATGTTCTTACGAAAAAAGAGAGAGGGTAATGGTCCTGTTTGGAACAGAGGTTTGAAAAGTAAATGAAAATGTCAGAATTAAAAAAATTATTAAAACTGTTTTAAGTGTTTTCGAAAAATTTGATTTTTTCTTAGAAGTCCCCGGATAATCCTCATTTTTTCAGCTTTTACTTGGTGTTGATAAAAGTTATTTTTGTCAAAAAAATTGATAGAAAAGTCACTCAATAAACCCGAATCCAAATTTCTTTTCCTCCAAAACAAACAAAAAAAAACCTTAAATATTTAATCTAGCTTTGAATTGACCTTATGTAAGAAAGGCGGATCATCTATTGTGTATAGGTGACAAACCCACCCATATAATGAATTACACTTGAGTTTATGGTGTTTCATTTATCATTGAATGAAATTAAAAATAAAAAAAAAATCTGATTTTATAAGGGAGAGATTCTCCGTCAAGGGGAAGATGCCACGAAAGAGAATGTACGTTCATGATGTTGGGTGGGGACTCGAGAGTTGGGGGTTCAACTAGGGTTGGGGTGGTGGATTTTGTTGGAGATAGAGGTTGAGGTGGGGTTTTCGGCCGAGTTGGCAATGGTGTGGGGTTTACTTGGAGGATGGGGTGGTTTATGGCGAGAAGGTGGTGGTTGTCCATGAGAGAATATACAAGGTATTAATGTTATTTTATAAATGTTGTGAACAAGATAACACTAAACATTACTAATTTACAATCATATCAATATCACATAATCATCACAACAGTCATTAGAGTGCCGCAAGAACATAATGTCTTACTTTTCAACGCTAACTCTTTATTATTTCGATTTTGATTCTCTTCATTGGCTTCATTCATCAAAATGGTAATATTCTTGCAATCCAAGAAGGTACATGCCTGCCATCATTTCCTTTTTTTACGTCTTTCATCTTTTTTGTCATTCCTTAGCGTTTAGTCTCTTATGGAATTTTGATAATAACAAAGTAGGCCCCCTTGTCTGTTGATTTATTTCAAAGAGTCGTTACTTGTTCTAATTTTGTCATCCTTTGTACAGTGCTTCCGCCCACTCCTACTGACTACATAATATTTGCGCATGTGGTTCCCTGTGCTCCCACTTCTTTCTGCCCTTTTTCCACTTTCTTTTCTGGGTAGGTGAGGTGGTGAGTGGTTTCATCCTGCCTGATTAGTTTTCCCCTTCTTTACTTTCTTATTTTTTGTGTGCGTTTTTTATCCAATATTTATCTACAATTACTCACAAAATATATGCATGCGCACACAATCACTCGCGAACTAAGTGAATGATGTCACTCAAAAAAATCTTGAAATTGGATAAGATAGTAAACCTCAAGACGTTCTCATATGAGTCACCCTGAACATTTAGTGAAAGAGTCTTAAAATTGAGCAAAGAGTTAATAATATTTTTTATCGTTAAAATATGTATTTTTTGTCAGTTTAATCCGTATTGTATCAATTTTGTCTTTAAAGTATTTAATCTGTGTCATTTTGATCCCTAATCAGACAATTCGTCATCTTAAACCAACCTTATAATCACTTAAATTTTGATATAATTTCACTTTCGGACTAATAAATGTAAATGGTGATCAAAATGTTAACACAATGAAGAAATTATGTCGACATTTTAGTGGAAAAGTATGTCAAAATGATTTACATTCATCTTCATTCTTACAAATTGAACGTTCTAAGTGTCGATGGAAGGAAGGAGGACCACAGCGTGTCTGAATCAGTTCTGTAGGTCGTTCATGCCCTCAACATCCTGGAAATTTCTAAGCTCAAATTTTCCTTACTTGGAAAGCTATGGAATTAGGATAAGCTTTAACACTTGTCCTGCTAGAATATGGTTGCCAATGAAGACAGACGCCCCCCCACCACCAAATATTCCAGTTATCGGACAAGAAAAGAATTATGGATTATACATCTTGCTTTGGTTTATTTGTAGTCATTGTTTGTAGAAATAATAAAATTAAGAGAAGGGATTGACCCAAAAAAAAAGAATTACGACGTAAAAATTTATTTTTTGGTACACAATTGGGCCTCTAATGGGGTCAGTGAAAATTAGGTGATTCACCCCTATTTTTAAAGAGGTTGATTTTTGAGTTCGAACCTGCACTATTTCACTTGGATGGACTAGTATTTGCCTAACACTCAAATTCCAGTTGGAATTGTATAGGGGTCACACTCTGTCCCTCTTGGTGTCAACGGCCCCCATATAGACCAGGTCAATATTGTGTCACTTGTTCATGGCATTGGCAGCCTATGTTGAAATCTCTGGTTGTAGATTTGAGGATATCTGTTGTGCGTGCAAGATCCTGCACAATATAAAAAACGAGAACAGATCTCTCCCTTGGTGAACTTCGAGTAAGCCCGTTGAGTGACCAAACACGTTGCTTGGAACAACCTGCAAGGTACGGTGATAGCCTGAAACGGCAATGAGAGATCCTGGGAACGGAAGAACGATCCAGTAAGGCTGAAAGAGGTTCCTGAAACAAAGAAGAACAAATTAGAAGAGCGCCTATTCAAAGAGGTTCACTATTCAAAGACAATTGGTTGGAGAGGAGCATTACTGTAATACCCAAGTTCAAAAATAATAAATAATGATAATTATAATTATTATAATAAAGTGACTACCAAAGCTTTGATAGTATGGGTGGGGGGTTAATTTTTAATTTCATTAAACAAAAGGGAGCTAAGTAATT